CTTGAAAAAACAAGAAAATGAATGCATGTGGCCAGTGCCAGGTGAGCTGCCCTGGGGGTGCACTTGAGTTGAGGCAGGGGACAGTGGTCCCCCCCTGCCAGCCTAGGATTTTGGGCCTGATTCACCCACTACCCCTAGTGCTAGTCCCAGAGGCTGCTGTGGAGGGGGCAGCCCCAGCTCTCTTTTCAGAGATCAAAGCTGGGCTTTCCAGGGTGCCTGGCTGGTCCCTGCCGGCAGCTTTGTGCTCTCTGGCTCTTTGTGGAAGGAATCTTGGCACAGATGTTTGTGTTGCCTCCTCAGGCACCTGTAGATATAATTTACACCATGATATCATCGTCTCACCTATTGCCTGGATGGCTGCCTGAGAAAGATCTTTATTTTTACAGAAAAGATCAAGGCTGTCTGGCTCAGGAATCTATGGGTCCCGGGCGCTGGTCAAAAACGGGGTAGCCTCTTTGGCGCCACCTAGTGTCCAGTGCAGCCCATGGCGGGGCCCATTCACGGGGCAACACTGGGCTTCTGGGCACAGTGGGAGTACGGAAGGATACAGCACTCCTCATGCTTTCCTGGAGGTAGAAGGCCAGTGGCAGCGACTGAGCTGGCATGAATTAATAAGGGGACGTGGTAGTGAGCGCTAAGGGCTACCTTGGAACGCACGGAGGAGCGTCCAGCGAGTTCAAAGCAGTGGCCATGATGCAAAAGGAGGGCTGGGTCTTGGAGAGGTGGAGAAGAGGAATGCTGAGTGATGGGGTGGCTGCTGGAGGGATGCTTAGCTCAGAGCAGTGGCCAATGGGAACACTGAGATAAGATCGGAGGGGAGCTGACAATGCCAGAAGTGGTTTGAACTTCCCCTTGAGGCTCTAGGGACACTTTGTTTTGAGACAGGGTCTTGCTTTATTGCCTAGGCTGGAGTGCAGTGGTGCAATCTTAGCTCACTGCAGCCTCCACCTCCCAGGCTCAAGAGATCCTCCTACAGCCTCCCAAGTAGCTGGGACTACAGGAAGGCACCACTACACCCAGCTAATTTTTAAGGTTTTTTTTTTTTTTTTTTTTTTTTTTTTTTAAAGAGATGGGGTCTTGCTATATTGCCCAGGCTCGTCTCGAACTTCTGGCCTCAAGCCATCCTCCCACCTTGGCCTTCCAAAGTGTTGGGATTACAGGCGTGAGCTAACCTCGCCCAGCTCTGGGAACACTTGGAAGGTTGTAAGCAGAGAAGTGACAGGTTGGAAAAGATGGTTTGGATTACTGCTATGGATAGATTCCCAACTGTCTGTAGCATGCCATACTGGGCCAGCAGTGTCATGGGAGTGGAGGGGGAGAAGTGGGGAGTGGGGACACGTGAAATGATAGGTATTCTGTGAGGTGTCGAATGCCTTCCAAAGGCTTTGTAGGTTCCAGCTCACATCCCCCTCTGGCCCTTGTTCTTTGGTGTGGCAGCCGGCTCTCCTTCCAGGTGTCCTGAGTATTTCAGCACCAGGTTTCTCTGCAGCCACACAATCAGCCTGGGCTCGGGAGCAAACTCCTCTGGAAGAACGGAGTTAAGAGTTGGTCAGCAGAGGAGGCTGGGGACAGGCAGTCTTTGGTCTTTTACCTCTGACCTTGTCCCCACCCTAAGCCAGCTAGCTGCATGCTCCCACTTCCTCTGCCACACACTGCCTGTGTTCCCCGGACTTTGTCCAGTGCGGTGCCCTCTTCCCTTCCTGCATTGTGGAGATCAACTGAAGTGACAGGTTAGAGTTAGAAGTGGCCCAAAGGAGCATCTGATACAACCCCCTTTGGTTAGAGAAGGGAAAGTGGCTTTTCCAAAGCTGCACAGCTAGACAGTCATAATGGCTAAGTTCTGGGAGTGCTTTTGATGTGCTAGGGATATTTTCAATGCTTAACCCTCACAACCTGAGATAGGTACTGTTATCATTCTCTCTGCAGATAAGGAAACCGAGGACCAGGAGGTTCAGTAAATGGTCCAAGTACTCCTAGCTAGTAAGGAATGGATCTACAGCCTGCTTCCTGGATTTCTGGCTTGTCGCGGGCAGAGTTTGTCCCTTTGTCATCAGAGACAGCCTTTCGGGCACAGCTCTGGCCACCTCTGGTCACAACTGGAGGTCACCACAGCCCTTCCCAGCCCTCTCTAGGCTCTCAGCTTTGTGCTTCCTCCTACAGGGACTAGCTCCAGCTGAGTTTGCAGGAAACCCACTTCTTGAAGCCAGGACTTCCCCATGGGAAGTGCAGGGGCCGCTGGGCACCAGTGGCCTCTGCCTGAGGGCTGACTCTGCTCTGGACACTGTGTCTCAGGAACTCATGGCAGTGGCTTACCTTGTCAGGAGCGTGCGGAGGGGCTGCCCCTCCCGTTCCTTCAAGCATCACTCAGTTCTGGCCTGGTTCTAGGCTTGGGGCTGTGGCTGCCACAGGAAGGGGGATACCCCCATACTTTGGGTGTTGGGTCAGATCCTGCCCCCGCGCCCCACAGGGCTCAGGTTCCTCTGAGCTGATCCTGGGCTAGGTCGTATCTGTGTGGGGAGGGGAGAGGGGTGCACCATGGCCTGGAGGGGAGTGTGTGTTGGGGTGTGTGTGTGTGGAGGTTCTTTTGAGTCACACACAAAGCATTGTGCTGAGACACTGCATTCCTGCTGGCTGGGCTTCCTGTTTCCAAATGCATTCCTGCCCCAGAGTCACCACAGAGACTGTTTGGAATCCTGCCCCACATTCTCCAAATTCAGGGCGCGATCTGGCAAAGGCTCCCTCCCCCACCCTCTTACTTTGGAGGGAGTCTGGGCTCCCTCCTAACCAGGGAGGGCTGGCAGGGCTCTGGCACGGCAGTGAGTGTGATGCCGCACATCTTCTTGGGCTTGTATAAGGCAGTTCCTGGAGGCCCACCACTCTGGTTCTCTCTGCCTGTGGGAAGCAGAATGGGTACTATCTAGGAGGACTGGGCTGGGAGGGGGCAACCCAGAGGACCCATGGCTAGCAGGGAAGGGCCTGGGCTTGAACATGACTCTGTTGAGACATGGCCAGCAATTCCGGCACTTGGCTGTCATTCAGCCGGCCTGCACAGGGCTTGGCCGTGGGCCTCAGTTTCCCTATTTTATAAAGTTTTTAAAATCTGATAGTTTGTGGCTGTCTGATAAAGGGGTGTTTGGGGACTGGTTCCAGAAAGGAGCAAAGGGAAGGGGATGCACAGACGGTCTTACACCTCCCAGTTAACAGCCACTTCCTTCCAGTGGCTCTGGCTCCAGCCTCCCCCCTCCCCTAGAGGTCCAGGTGCAAGTCTGCACGTCCGCCAGCTCCCTTATCTGCCTCCGGGGGATTTGGGTCCTGCTGGGATTTTTCCAGTCCTGTCCCCTCCCTCTGGAGGAGGCGCCTTCCTTAGAGGCCACCAGCCCCAGTCTGGTCGCCAAGCTCTGTCTCATCTTCAGTAGCTGCTTGGGTTCCTTTTAGGATGGGGAGTGAGGGGTGGAATCCCAGGGGCCAAAGGCGGGGTGAGGTGGGAACAGGGGGACATTTACACTTTGGCCCAGTCTCCAGGCGGCTCCCCGCTGGCTCGCGTCTTTCCAGACCTTGAGACCTAACTAGTCCCCAGCTTTAGGAAGCCAGGGATGAGAAAGAGGCACGGGACCGGGAGGGGGTTCAGATCTAGCCGAGGACACACGCACGTTCTGCAGTTGTAAAGGATTTCCCGGTGGGCAGGAATCGTTTCCCCTCCTATCGCCCAGCTTTCCGTGCGGCCAAGGGACTGGCCCCAAGCCACACGGCTGGGGAGCACCAGGTGCCCGCGTCCTGGTCAGGGCTCTTCCCACCGCCGGCACGTGGGGCTCCCATTTCCTTCCGGGCTCTTGTCTGGCCCTCCAGCCAGCCTCGGCTGTAAGTCTGCGGCAGGAAAACAGACCCTGCTTGTGAACCTGGGGGGCCGGGTGGCCCGGCGCCCCGAGCCA